TTACCTTTATTGATGATTATTCCCAATATACATGAGTATATCCCATGCAAACTAGGGATGAAGTACCAAAAATTATCCAAGATTTTCAAATAACGATTTTCACCCAATTTCAAACTGAAATCCAGATCTTCCAATCTGATAATGCCAAAGAATATTTCCATAATGATCTTACGAAGTTCTTTGCTTCACGTGGATCACTCCACCGTAACTCCTATGCTCGAACATCACAACAAAATGGTGTTGCTAAAAGAAAGAACCACCATCTTCTTGAAGTAGCTCGGGGACTATTGATTCATATGAATGTCCCCAAATGTTTTTGGCTTGAAGCTATCCTTTGCGCTACCTATCTCATTAACCGCATGCCCTCTCAGTGGTTAGAGTACAAAGCCCCGCATTAGCTTCTGTTTCCCAAGGCTCCTCTTTTGTCTATTCCTCTCCGTGTTTTTGGTTGTCGTTGCTTTGTTCAAAACTTATCACCTACTAGTGGGAAATTAGATCATCGTGCTATTCCTTGCATATTCTTGGGATAACCTACAAATCAGAAGGGGTATCGGTGCTTTGATCCCGTTTCTTGGAAATATCATGTTTCCATGGATATCTCCTTTTTTGAGAGTGAACCTTTCTTTCCTGTTTCTCCTCAAGGGGAGTGTAGGCATGAAGACAAACAGGTTCAGAATCCTCCTCTACCTCCTCCTCCCTTCCATGTTTTCTCGTGTCATCATAAAGGCCAACCAAGTTCAAGAGCTATGGAGCATTAAGAAGTTGTACCACCAATGCCATCACATTCTTCGGGGACGGATCGTACCCAACCAAGTACCTTAGTTCCCATTGATATTTCTGACAATGACCCTATTGCTATTGATACCTCAAGTGCTGGTGATCTTAACCTTCCTATTGCCCTCCGAAAGAGTGTTAGATCTTGCACCACCAAGCACCCCATTTCCCACTTTGTAAAAGCTTTCTAAAGACCCTATTGGATCAACTCCAGATTGTGTACTGTTTCAAATCTTGACTAATCCATTGATCCAACAATTCAATTTTGAAGTCACTATAAACAAAAATATGGTATAATAGACCCAGGATAACTGATCTATAGTCAATTCAACACTTGAAGCTAGGGTTTCATCAACCCTATAACTCGGGAGAAAGAGAGAAGATGCAGTCCCTCCTAACAGTCTTCCCAACTCCCTTTCCAAAGGTAGCCGTACTCTTAATGGTTCAAATAGCTCCTAGCAAGCAAGCGCCAGCCTCAATCTACCTCTTTAAACCCTAACTCAATCAAGAGTAGATTTCTCCAATTGGTTCAGATCTTAGGCTAAAATCTCTAGGGATGCCTTCTAGGCTTCAAAACTTGAATCCACTGTCTCGAATTACCAACCAGGCGACAACTTGTACTGATGATCAGCAACTCATCTCTCCAAGTGCACTGCTGAGCTAGGTTTATGGGGTTCAAAGAAGACAAAATAGGAAGAACACTGCTTTATTACCAAGTAGGAAAATAAGCTGCAATAAATCTTGATGTTTAATCAAGATCTTAAGATAGAGTACAAGAGAAAGATACATAACAGTAGAAAGAAGAAAAGAGAGAAAAAAAAAAGGTTTGGGAGAAAAGAGATCATGGATGTCTCCTATCCCTTCTCAAAGATATATTCAAACGATTGTTAATAAAGGGAAAATTACAAGAATGCCCTTAATAGAACAGCTGCATGAATAAATAATTGAGTGCCTTAGGCCCATTACAACTAAAGCCCATTAGCATAAACCAAAGAATCAAGGTGCTCCTCTTGTCTCAATAACTCAACATACTGCCAAGGTATATTCATTTTGCATCAGGGAGAGTTAAGTTCAACTACTTATTTTGCAACACTTCGAAGTATGTGGAGGAACTCGATCGCTATCAATTAAAACAATGTCAGTAGCAAACAAGATGCACCATGGGACCACTTGAACATAAGTAACAATGAAATTAATAATTTATCCATCAATAAACAAGTAAATTGATGACATTTTTGATAGATAACTTGAATTCATTCCATTCATAAACATTATATGAACAAAGAAATATACATCGTTGAAGAGAAACAGGTTTTTTTTCTCTTCCCCATTAAATCAAATTACAACTCAGCCCAGAATGGTTGATTTCTATTCACCCCTTGTTTAACCAAATTATCAGCCATAGCATAGACCGATCTTTGATGAACCCATTGCACCTGCACCTCCATTCCTCAAGTTTTTTTTTTTTTTGAAGAATCAAAAGAAAATTTATTAGAAAAAATAAAGTACAGCAGGAGGTGATAAGATATCACCAGAAGCAAGAAACACCCTCGGAAAACCACACCTTGCATATAAAAGATCCCAAAAAACCCAAAAGATAAACCACAACTTCCAAGTAAAAGATTACCCAAACAATTCCAAAAAATGATCACTGAACAGGCCTAATAAAAAATCCCCAAAAGACTAGAGACCACCCCCCAAATCTGACTAAAACCAAGAGCCCTTCAGCCCCTTCCAACTGCCCACATCAGTCTTCATCTGTGAGCACATCCTCTTGACTTGAGAATTCATCGTCCCATTCATTGTTCCTTTCCAGCTTCGCTTTGTTCTTCATTTTCTCTTCCACTTTTTTCTTTCAAATTCTTCAAAAGCCTTCCTAGCAAATTTCTCACCATTCCAGAATGGCAAGCCCAAGCTTTTCCCAATTTTGACCTCTATCCACTATCCTTTGCATATCTACCTTACCTGAAACTTTTTTTTTGATAATTATCTACCTTACCTGAAACTTCATCAACAACATCATTTTCCTGACTTAGCTGTGTCAAACCAGCCTCAGTATCGACACCATTCACCTTGTTTTCCAGTTGTTCCTTAATAAAAAGGGGGCCTGTGACTGAACTTGCGCAAATGCCTCCCTATGATCAGTACCAGTTGTCCCATACTGACAAGATCCCTAGTACTTCTTATAGAAATTCCAGCATCCCATACTGACAAGAGCCCAAGAATGCTAAATCTCACCTTATGCCAGAACCTGTCTCTCTCCAAAGGGAATCTCCACAACCATTTCCCCAGTAAAGCTTTATTTTATCCCTCAACAGTCCCTAACCCTAATTCCCTTTGATATTTCCTTTGGCACACCACATCTCATTTAATAAATGATTGTTTTCAACTTCCCCAAGTTCTTATAGAAAATCTCTCATAACTTTCTCTAACTTCTTAGCCACCAAACTAGGATTCAAAAAAACGGAGAGGTAGTATACCAGAGGATTAGCTAGGCTGGACTTGTTGATGACAGTGATGTGGCCTCCTAAGATAAGTAGTTTCTTTTCCAAGATGCTAGTTTCTTAGAAAACCTTTCAAGAATAGGACTCCAAAATCTAGAGTCCCTAGGATTTCCCCAAGTGGAAGGCCTAAATATTTCTAGGACCAATCCAAAATTGAGCATCCAAGATCTCTGCATACCCTTCCACCTCCCCAAATCCAAATTCATTCCCACTAAACAGCTTTTTCCCATACTAATTCTCAAGTTAGATCATCATCATCATTCATGCCTTATCCTAACTATATGGAGTCAGCTGCATAAATCCTATTTCGCCAATGCATTCTATTTAAAGCCATATCCACTGTCAAATTATTAGTGCTTAAATCATCTCTTACTACTTCTACCCATGTCCTTTCTGGTCTACTCCTAAATCTTCTAGCCCCTTCAACATGTAACAAATCACTTCTTCTAACTAGAGCAGTTGGTAGTCTTCACTGCATGTGACCAAACTATCTTACTTAGTCTACTCTCTCTCATTTTATCACCTATTGGAGCTACTCCTGGGTTCCTCCTAATCCTATCCTTTCTAGTTTTTACACGCATCCATCTAACCATTCACATTTCTGCCACATTCATTTTCTGGACATGTTGTTTCTTGACTGCGCAATACTTTGCTTCATACAACACAGCTGGCCTTACACCTTTTTCATTAGTAAGAGTCTAAGAGATAAACAAATCTTTTTTTATCAGTAGATCAATGAAAATTTAAGGGCCCACAATTTAACGATAGATATGGTACTGAATAGGATAGAATGGAATAACAGGACTCATGTAGACGACCCCATGTAGTTGGAACAAGGCTTGGATGATGATGATGATATGTAAGAACAAATACTGAGATCAATGAAAATTGTGTAAGAACAAATATGATTATAAAGAGATATATGGAAATATCCAGCTCAACCTAACTTACCACATGCACTTCAAGGAAACAGAAAAAATTAAATTCACAATTATCTGCCTCAAGGCACTAGGCAGATCCCTAGTGCAGATTTTTCCTACTGGTTCCTTCCCTTTCCAATGAATTGAATTATTCATATTGGAAAGATCTCCAAAAAGAGCTTAATTTAATTAGATGAAATAAACAACAGATCTTATTTCCTAACAGACCATTCATCCATTGAAAGCCTATCAATAGATAATCTTGTTAAACCCTTCAACATTAATCACTTTTTTAGGAAAAATGGTATTGTTAAACCCTTCAATATTAATCAAGATCAATAGATTTTTTTTGAGTATTATGCATTTTGATTGCCCGATACTCTTTTTTAGTTTTTTTTTTAATTTATTCTTTGAAAATAGGCTTGCTAGGAAACTGTTAATATCCCCTAGCTCTCACTATTTTCCATCTTGGTGACTGATAAGATACACCCCGCATTGGCAATATCAATAATATAAACCTTGGATGGAATACACATTAATCATTAAAGTTTCTAGTTAATTTCTACCTCATTCACCATTGTTTAAAATAAAATATCAGCTGCTTCTCTTTTACTTCATGGGTATTTTTATTCCCTCATAGTAATGATAATTCAGACATCTAGATTCGGAATTTCCATGGCAATTATTGTTCAAAGTTCAAATGCTCTATATTTTAGATTCTTATATGCATCAGACCAACATTTTTAAGAAGATCCAAAGGTTTACAAAATAAATTTAGGATGTCTTAAGAAATGTTAGATACCTCGGTTATCTGCAAAATTAGAGTGATAATGCAACCGATTCGCCTCCAACATCTTGGACACCTCATGAGCACTCTCCGAAGCCTTAAGGAAATGATCATCAAGCTCTGTCAAAATCTGCAATAGGGTGACACTCGGAACAGCCCTCCCTACTCTCTTAACTTCGGGGGGCGCTGTGTGAGAATGACCAAGACTACCCTGCTTCGGCTTCTTCACCGGCTTAGCAGTGGCCGGCTCAATCACCTTCTCCGGCGTCTGAGGCTCAACTGCATTACCCATATCACTAGCACCCCCATTAACACCAACATTCTCCACTCTCTCAAACCTCCCATCATACATTCCACTACCACCCTCATCCTTCCCAGGTCTAATCTCTTCGGCATCGCTCAAGGACGGTCCAGGCATGTTTTCAACCATAAAGAAGTAATCCCAAGTCATGCCTTTCGACTCCGGGGGAGAAGGCGGAGGTACAGGATCACTCGGCGGGGTACGAGGTGGGGAAGGCGGGGGCGGTGGTTCCGCCGCTTCGGTGGCCCTCCCACCACCACCACCAACACCAGTAGTGCTCCGGCGGTGGCGGCTACGGCGCAATGTGAGTTCACTATCGTTGTCATTGTCATGTTCCATACCCCCATTGTCATCACCATCTTCATTGTCAACGCCATCTTCTTCCCGGATGGTATCCGCAGGCTTGAGATGGGACTTGGTCACGGGGAACTCCGGCATGCTAGTTGCGCGTTGGAGAGGACTCGGGGAGAAGTTGGGTAGCGGAGGAGGCGGGGGAGGAAGGGTGTCAATGGGTGGTTGGGGGGTGGGCTGAGAAGGGCGATGGATGTCCTGGACTTCACCCTGGCCATAGTCGCTAAGTGCTGCTCCGGTGTTCTTGAGGCCCATGGTGAAAGCAGAGTGAGCAGCTGCGAAGGCATTCCGAGCGGTGACTGCATCTTTCATGTACTGCTTCCGGTCCTTACATCTAGAGACTGCTTCCTCGTTCTCAATCTTCGACTGTGTGCAACCCATTTGCAGATGGGTTGGAAGAGCTCCCTAGCTTGATGATCTTGAGATGGGTTTCTGACCAGAAGCTCCCAATGAGGTTTTCTGTGACCGTTCTCGGTTGTGATGCGCTGTGTATAACCTCTGCTGCACTGAGAGACTGAAAGTACCTTCTACTGTCCTCTTTCCAAAGAGCGGAAAAGAGAGAAAGTGAGGTTCTTTGGGAGTTTTAAAATTTCATTATTGTGATTCTGTGGCACGTGTGGTACATTTGAACTGTGCGCCCGTTGCCTTACACTTAAGTACTACGTGTGAGATATTCAACGTGAGATGCAGAGATAGTACGTTAATTTCCCAATTTTAATAGGAGGGAAATTTTTCTCTCGTTAAATTGGGATCTAATCCAACAGGTGTACCCCACCTTGTACGAGTGTCATGTTATGTGTGGGACCCTCATTGAATGGCAAAGCGATTCAGAAAGAACGTGTTGACGACTGGCCATCGTCAGATTGGAATTCAGATAATGGCCATCGTCAGATTGTAGCCCCCGTTTAGGATTACCGAATTAGAGGAGTGCTTATTTTTAAGCACTTATTGGAAAAATCGCTTATTTGAGAATTGAGACCGGGACCACATCAATAATCACTTATATGTGTTTGGTAAATAAACCCAATAAGTGTTTAGTCAATTTTGAATAAGTTTTTAAATTTTGGCTTTTTCTTCAAGTACTTTTTGAAAAAGCACTTATTGTGTTTTGGCCCATTTTTATTTTGACAAGATTCCTAAAACTTCTTTGGCTTAACAACAAGGAAGGAGAGCCTTTCCGGCAGCATCTAGCCATCTACAAGAGCGAGATAGGATAGACCCCACGGTCCCAAACAAGAAAAGGATTCCTCACGAATCACGATCTTTTGACTCTTCCGCGCGCGTCATGAGTTCGGATCTGCTCCTCACATATCGCGCCTCACACTGACATCACAGCCAAAACGTGGAGGAGGTCGGTGTAAGGCGCGCTTTCTTAGGAGCAAATCCAAACTCGTCAGTACATTATGACCATACTCCAATTCACCTTTATTCTCTCCTCCACTTTCCAATACATACATTATTCTCTAATCTCTCCTAAATTATCTCTTATTCTTATTTATCTTCTTCCTCAATTTTTCATCTATATTTATCTAAACAAATTTTAAATTAAAAATTTTTAAATTATTTAAATATTATAATTGATGATGTGTGTTTTGACAATTCCTGATTAGCAAGTGACTCGAATGCCTACTTAAATAATTCTACCTGGAATGTGGTTTAGACGCCTATCTGAGTGGTTCCTACCTAGAAGGTGGCTTGGATGCCTAGTTGAATGGTGACGAATTGAAAAAGTAGCTCTAATGCCTAGCTAAATGGTGACAAGATAGAGAGGTGGCTCTGATGCCTAACTGAATAGTGACGAGTTGTAGAGGTGTTTTCTGATGCCTAGCTGAATGGTAATGAGCTGGAGAGGTGGTTCTTATGCCTAACTGAGTTGTGATGAGCTAGAGAGGTGGCTTTGATGTCTAGCTGAATGGTGACAAGCTGGAGATGTGGCTTTGATGCCTAACTAAGTGGTGACAAGTTGGAGAGGTGGTTTTGTTATCTAGCTAAGTGGTGACAAGCTGGAGAGGTGACTCTAATGCTTAACTGAGTGGTGACGAGCTAGAGAGGTGGCTCTGATACCTAACTGAGTGGTGACGAGCTGGAGAGGTGGCTCTGATGCTTAATTGAGTGGTGACAAGCTGGAGAGGTGGCTCTGATGCTTAACTGAGTGGTGACAAGCTGGAGAGGTGGCTCTGACACCTAATTGAGTGGTGACAAGTTGGAGAGGCGGCTCTGATGTCTAGTTGAGTGGTGACGAACTGGAGAGGTGGCTCTGATGCAACCTGCAAGGTATGGCTCAATTTCCATACTGGTTTTTTAAGGGCCTATTTGGAAGGGCTTACTTTTAAATGTCGTTGTTCAGAGAAGCTACTAAAAAAATGCTTACAAAGAACCATCTAAGTGGTCTCCTCACCCAAGAAGAAGAAGAAGAAGAATATCTTTTGGTTTGGTTAATGATGCAAATAGACTGGATTGGATTCCAATCGTGGTATATCCAAATCTAATTTGATACTATGAAGAGGAGATCCGATCAGATCTCACAAATAGGGATTTGAATTCGAATTCGATGAGGAAGTCAAATATTTTGATCTGATTTGATTTGACTGCATTTTTTTAAAATAATAAAATATAACAATTTAAATAAAGAAAAACAAAAATACAAGCATCTTTTCAACTATTTTCATCATATATATACATGTTTTTTATAAAAAATAATAATATAAATAACTAAATAGCATATATATATATATATATATATTGAATCGAATAAGAGGTGATCCAAATTCAATTCAGTTTTTCATCGGATCCTATCATCTGATCCGAATCAGGCATCGAATCAAATCGGATCATGATCCAATGAATTTCGCACCCCTAGGTTTGGTTGTTCAAGTATAATGTGTATTTTTGGTTGTGGATGCTTTAACTCAGCTTCTACCCATAAATGGATCAAATAAAATTAGGCAAATATCCTAATTTGATTCATCAAATCGAATAAAATCTTGTCTACAAGATTTAGGGCCTATTTGGTTTGCAAGAATAAGGATCTGAAATTACAATTAGTCATTCTAATTCCAACTATTTAATTGGGTGGAATTAGAATCCCATTCTCAGTCCTTTGGAATGACATTCCCCCATTTAAGGGAATGGTCATTCCCTCTCTTTTCTTTCCAAATGACATCCCACTCTAGCTTGTTCCAATTCTGATTTAGATTCTTATCTAAACCAAACCCGGAATAGACCATTTCAATTCTAATTCCAAGGGACATTGATTCTAACATGGTTATTAAAACCGACTCGGAGACCGAACTAGCCAGGGGTCTGGTTACTGGGTCGAACAAAAAAAAAATGGTTAACCACCCGGGTCAGCGGTTTGTTGACCAAAATCAACGGTTTTTGGGAAAAAACAGAATCGGTTTCCGGTTTTTCTGATCTGATCGTCCGGTCCAGTCCTGTTTTGAAAACCATGGATTCTGATTTCAATTTAGACTACAACCCAAACAGATCCTTAAATCTAATTTATACATTGAAATGTTGAATATTATTAATAAATAAAACTTCAAAATATTATTATACATTATTAATAAAATAATTTAAACAATTGAAAAATTACAAATAAAAAAGTTCGAAAAAGATATATGCGGTGAGCGTGGATCGAACACGCGACCTTCAGATCTTCAGTCTGACGCTCTCCCAACTGAGCTATCCCCGCAAGATTGGATCAACCAATGGCGTCGCCCGGACTCGAACCGGAGACCTTCAGTGTGTTAGACTGACGTGATAACCAACTACACCACGACACCGTTGCCTTTTTTACAAGAAAATGGAAAATATACTGACAGCCAATGAAGTGGTATTCGATCAAGAAGCATATAACATTTCAGCTTTTATTTAAAATCACCTTTTTCAGAACATAATCTACTTATAGGGCTGGCTGAACCACTAACCCTTTAGGCTTTTCATAGTTTTCATAAACGCCTCCATTTGGGATGGATTAACCAATAATGATGGGATCATGATTATTGTTCAACAGGTAGAGGTGTAAAGGGGGTCATGCTAGATCGGCATGACAAGACCGGTGCAAAGTCTGAATTAGGGCCCATAGACTGTCTCAAAACATGCGTCCCTCCCCTAGGATATTTGGGAAACTTAAAATTTTAATTTATATGAATTTTGATGCATACAATTGCTTATATATAGAATAATTAAATAAAATAGTTTAAAAAATTGAAAAACTTTGTTTACTATATACTATATATTATTATATAATTATAATTTATATGATATATTGTATATATAATATATATGGGTCGTGTTGGGCTGTGCCAACCCACGGGCCATGGGTGACACGGCACGATAAGCATAGCCCAACCCGTTGACTTGAAACCCCAAGCCCAGCATGACCCATGGACCATCGGGTTGGGCCAAGTTGGCTCAAATTGTGTCAGGCTATGCCAGGCCACATGCAACACGAGTCAATTTACACCTTTATCAACAAGCTGTGGAACCAATGATAAGTTTTTTTTTTTTTTAGATGAACCAATGATAAGGTTCCACGCCAGTAATAAAATATATGGGACTTGCACTTTTCATAGTGGGCTCCGTGGAACTTTATCATTGGTTCCACAGCTGGCTGAACAACCACCATGTTCAGCTAATCCAAATTTGTGAAGCGTAGTGGCTTTGGCTTTTGAAGGTAAGCCCTACATGGATAGCATATAGGCATGGGAAGAGTTCTTGTGGGCAGGAAATCCCATTTGCAGCGAAGTCCAAATTTCCTGCCCATGAGAACTCTACCCACTTTTGTCGCAACCAAACATTGAGAACATCTCATCTTCTGCATAGTATTATGCATGGGGAGATGTTCCCAATTCACGGGGGGTAGTGTATTGTGGGAAGAATTCTTGTGGGCAGGAGATCTCATCTGTAGCGTATAAGATTTGTTATATATGTCTTCTGCAATCTCTTTGAATAGTTTATGTAGAGCGTTTCAAAGCAATGAATCTTCAGCTGAACTCTCCCATATGGGGCCCTCATTTGAAGGGTTGTCCCCTTCAACTTCTTTGAATAGCTTATGGGAAGCGCTTCAAATTAGTTGAGTAGACTTAGGCCCTGTTTGGTTCATAGGAATAGGGTCTGGAGCCAGAATTGGAATGAATTATTCTGATTCCAACTGTTTGTTTAGATAGAATCGGAATCCCATTCTCATTCCTAGTGGAATGGCATTCTCCATTCTGTCATTTGAAGGAATACTCATTCCCTCTGCCTTCCTTGGGAATGAAATTACATTACTATTATTCTAATTTCTATTCCCATTCTTATCTGGGCCAAACAGACAATGAAAATAAACCATTCCAATTCTAATTTCGAAAGATTTCTATTCCAATTTCAATTAGAAACCAAATATACCCTTAGTATATTCTTCAACTGAGCCCTCTCCAAAGCAAACTGTTCAGTTGGGACTTGGGATAGGCATCTTTATGGCCTAATGTCCATATCAGTTTTTAAGGGCCTATTTGGCAAGGCTTACATTATATGCCGTTGCAGGGTGAAGTTACTAAAAAAAGGCTTGCACAAAACCATCTAAGTGGCTCCCCTCACCCGATAAGAATAAGAAGAGGAAGAAGAAAATCTTTTGGTTATAATATGTATTGTTGGTTATGGGTTCTTTTGACCCAAGCTTCTACCCACCCACTCCTTCAATGAATTTTGCAAATAGTTCAAATCAAATGGGGGCATATATCCTAATTTGGTTCATCAAATCTGAATAGAATCTTTTCTACAAGATTTAGGGCTTGTTTGGTTTGAAGGAATAAGGATCTAGAATTGAAATTGGAATGACCTATTTTGATTCCAACTATTTAGTTGGATAGAATCAAAATCCCATCCCCATTCTTGTAGGAATGACATTTCCCCATTTGAGGAAATGGTCATTCCCTCCTCTCTTGGGAATGAAATCCTATTCCAATGTATTTTAATTTCGTTTCCTATCTGAATCTATTATGGGAATAGACCATTCCGATTCTAATTTCAAGAGATTTTGATTTTTATTTCAATTTTGATTGCAAACTAAATGGATCCTTAAATCAGACTTGGATCAAATTTATATATTGAATTCTATAATAAATTAAACTATACATTATCCAAATATTATATATTAGGGAAAATTACTGATTAATACCATGTATGGGTTGTGCTAAGTCAGTCCCCAAACTTTAAAATGTGTTTCTGAGGTATCTGAACTTTCAAAATATGTCTAATAGGTGTCTGTCATTAACAGTCCGTCAGTTATCTGTATCACGTGATGACACGTACCACTTACAGCTTTTAAAAATGTCAAAACTACTCTTGAAAGAAGACACTACTCATTGCACAAGCTTTCTGTCCAGTGCTCTGTGACTCTCTCTCTCTCTTTCACATACTTATGGTTGCTGTTATCGAACCCTTAGAGAACGAACTAACTAACGACGATGCTAAGAACTGACCAAGTTTCAGCGACGACTGAAACCACCTTTGCTACAGTGTTCTCTCTTTCACTCTAAGACAAATCTCCTCTATTCCTTCGCATTTTTGTCTCTTTAATTTTTTTTTTTTTTTTATGTAGTTGACGAAAATTTCCTATCTATTCTTAAATCTTAATTTTTTATATCTTTTTAATTTCTTGTGTATTATTTTTAACTTTTTCTATTAACATGCTTGAAATAAATTAAATTAAGCTTCTTGTAGTGATGAAGCTGGTTAAATTTGAACCCTTTGTCTCGTTTTCCTTAATTTTCGAGGACAACGAAAGTTATTTGTTACAATTCTGTGAGGAAGTTATCTTCTGAATAATGGGTAGCATTGAGATGAGATACAACAATACAGGCTGTGAATTCTTTGATCTTTGCTTAGTTTCTCAGAGTTCGGTTAATGATGTAGCTACTTTTCAGTCCATTCACTGGGTTTTCATTTGCCTTTTATTTATGATTCTCTCTTAACAGTGAACTCAAATATGTCCATATTTCGCATTCACTTGGGTCCAAGGTTCAATCGGTGGCTTCACCATACGCTTATTTATAGGTGTTTCAGAATCGATCTCTTTTTAATGAAAAATATGGTTAAAAATAGGTTTAAAAACCAAATTTTGAAAAAAAAACATAAAAACGTGTTATTTTAAGTGTCAATATACCCTTGTTGATACAAAAGGGTGTATCAATATTTTGAACCATGCCTACGTCCTTTTTGTTTTATTATTTTAATCTGATTGATGTAGGGTAGCCCGGCCCAGCCCACGAGTGCTAGACTTGGGGCCGCGATTTGACACAGCAGGGGCTACCTTGCTCCCCTCGTATGGAGCCAACAGCAGAGTGCCCCTATGTCCCCGCAATGCCCGCTGACGCCCCGTACATCATTCATTGGGGGCATCCATCTCCACCTACCTCCCGACAACTCAAGTATAAATATGAGATGCCACCCTCCAGGTAAAGGATCCCTGAATTCCAGCTCTAACTCTACTCCTAAGAGAATGACTTAACTCTTGGGAGCCTAGTGCCTATGAGTGCCCTCTTTCGAGCCCTCTTTGGCACCAGATCCCAATCTTCTTGCCCCCGTATTAACTTGATCGTCGGAACCTTTGCCTCGGGTTCCTACCCGAGGCCTCTAGCACTTTTTGTCTTGCAGTACCTCGGGTTTCAAGGGACTTCGCCACTTAGTCAACAACCCTCGGCCATAAACCCTCGACTCCTACAGTATTCAAAGGGAACAATCCACATCGGCCTACCATCCTTGGCCTCGACGTACCTCCTCTGAACCCTCAAAGTCTTTGGCCAGCCTTCATAGCTCGGGAGTGAATTTACCTTTTTGCCCTTGGCCAAACCAGGTAGCAACACAAACCATCTCTGAATAGCACAAATCTTCTCTGAACATCTCAAATCTATCCATCATTCGCCTTTTGTACCTTGACAGATTTTCCATACCTAATGAGTATTTATTCTAAGGCTCTGGTTTTTATTCTCTGAATACATGGACCTCAACATTAATAAACGCAATGACTCTCCGCCATAGTCGCTGCATCTGAAGTGCTGTTCTTCTCTTAGATTAGTTGGCAGATAAAGAAAATTAGAGACACATTTTGAAATTAAGGGAGTGACTTGACGTAACCCTTAAATACATACAAAATATAACGTTTTGAAGTCGACTAAAGTACAATATATTGATCAGAAATTCTACAGACTAAGCCTTAAGTACAATTTTGCAAACTCTGAAAAAGCATCTCAGCTGCACAGGAATCACTTAAATGGCCTATCTTTTTGTAAGAGCCAGCTCAAGTTACGCTACAACTCTATGCTTTCTTATCATGTATCCTTCTCTTCATGAATATAATGCTTCTCTTTTTTGCCAAAATAAATGTTCTGATAAAAAATTTTCCCAATATATTACTAAAAAATCACTACATTAATCAAGTGAAATCAAAATAACTTCTCTGGTATCTGAACTTGCATAAGATTTCAATATTATGAAGCTAACTTACATGCCCTTTTGTTTCCCGAGGGACAGAAGATATTTTGTGATTTCGACTTCAGAGTTGGCCCACTATCAAAATATCTCTCAAGTAAGATAAAAATTACAAAGTTACCGTTACCCGAAAAAATAAGATACAAAGTACGAACCGGTGAGGTGAAGTTATTTCGCGCGTCTCAACGGACAACGGTAAGACTTCCGAATGGCCACCGCCAGCTTCTCTTTATCCCCTTCACCGTTCTCTCGTTCAGATTTTCGTCCAAGCTCCACCCAAGCGCGCCTTCGGATTCCCTGCCGTTCGGATGGAACCTCGTTGTCTCCTCTCTCCAGAACCCTTTCGGCAATTGAAAGCTCCGGTGTCATTGCGTGTCTTCGCGCCTCAAGGTACGTAACCTCTCTCTTTATTTTCAGAAGCTCAGTTTCTGATAATTGAGACAAATCGTCGATAAGTAACTGCGCATTTATTCATCTGTTTTGATGTTTTGGGATTAAGGAGTGATGATTCTGCTACACTGCCTGGTTCTTTTCTCTAAGCCCACTCTTGTTTTTTTTTTTTTTTTTTTCTAAACAAAAGTGAAAATTGTTTGAACTTTGCAATTTTGTTTACACATTTTGAGCGTTAAAACTATTCTATGACTATTGGTATACTGTGTGGTGTTCATGAGTAAGAAGCATATGTATTCTTCGGTTCTGGTGCTTTTTCCTTAAGGCAAGTTCGTAATTGCCTACAAATGGCTGTACATGGTCACAATTCACTCAGAAGGTTTGGTTTTGCGTAACGGGTTCATTCGTGGGAATTTTCAGTTATCAGAACACAGAAGGAAAAACAAATATCCCCATCTCCCTCTCCCCAGACACCCCAAAAAGGATAGATTAAGAATAAGAAAACACACGACGTACGAAAGGACTCTTCCATCAAGGTCATCAGCCAGCTTGTACGTAGTTGATCCTTTGCTTCTTTCATGAATTGTTTAGTTATGGGTTTAAAGGTTTAAAGCAGAGGAGCGGGGCCTGTATTTGATCATGAGTTTATTAATGATCAAACACTAGCTACAATGCGGGCTTGAACCTGAACATGGCTTTAACCAAATTGGGGAACTTTTTCCTGTGTGTGGCATTGTAGTCTATTCGGAACTACCAAGGCTGTATAATCTATCAAAAAGCAAAAAGAAAAGAAAACTATGGTATCTAACTCTTTCTGATACAAAAAGGGTGTTTCCTCCATCCTCTCCGAGCTATAGTGCTATCAAGCCAGCTCAAGGACAAGGAACCCTAACGTTCTTAGAACAAGTTTTCGAGAGAAAAATAACTAGCTGATCTTATTAGTGTAATCGTCAATACATATATAGGGCCTCAGACGGTTACAACCAAAACGGAATATTGTCAGGCACTAATGGTGATCAATGATTGGTTGTGATTGCCAATGATGAGCCGACACCTAACAGATGGCTTGATCGGATTGATAAGACAGCCCATTGCACACTCAATAGCTGGACGTGATGGGGAGAAAACTGTGCCGTATATAACAACTCCCTTCCAAAACATTTTCTTTTCCTTCCTTTGAGGTCTCTAAGATGGTTCTTTGTTTTCTTCATAATCAGGACTTAGAGGCCATCAAAAAGAAAATTAAAATCTTGAGAAATTGTTTTACTGATTCAAGGTTACTGAATTTAGCCTTGATGCAGACTTTAGAGCACAGAGAATTAACTTTTAGAACAAACATAAAAAAGTTTGTTGATTGGAGTTTTTGTTTTTTGTTCTACTTTTTGAACTTTATTTTCTAATCGTAATTTTGGTTGTCCATTAATTTATAGGTTTTGTGTAAGACCTGTCCAAGACTGGGTTCGCCTGACTACACTTAAGAGCCTATTTTCACATAATGTTTTGTTTTGTCCTTGAGTCAAGCTTGCCAAACCAGAGCCCTACATTGAAGCTTGTGTTTCTTGTTTTTCTTGTTTGTAGTGGAGATCTGGCAAGGGAAGCTGCACAAGCTGCACTTAGTGGTGGCATCTCAGTTGTGAGTCTCCTTTTAACTGCTACTCTTTTTATGAGAGGAAAGTGAAGATTCCTTCATAAATGTATATTATGTTTATCACATATAAAAGAAGTTTGTTAAATAGCATCAATATCTACCATATGTATCTTTCATATCCTATCTCTGAAATTTATGGACCACCTTTTGCATTGATGGTAGCACAAGAATTCCAATAATTGAGTAAGTAATGCTTATGGCATAGCTGTAGACTGTTCCTATAATGCTGATCCTCCAAATGAATGAAACAAGTTGGATAATCTGGTGAACAGGATGAATTTTTGGATGTCATCCATCCAGAAAATATCTTTGGAAGGAGGTCTTTTAGGGTATTCATACCAGTGGAATGCTTATTCATGTATATTATATCTAATTTGGATCTAGCTTTCGTCATATTGGTTCTTAGACCTTCCATTCTGATTTTACTTGAAGCCACCATGTATTTAATTTGTCTTATTTTTAATTACTCTTCTTTTGATTTTCAACATGTAGCTGGAGATTGTGATGTCCACTCCAGGTGTGTTTGAGGTTGTTTGCCATAATCAATTTTACCATCTTTTTGGCTGCACTTGACAATCAGCAAAATTTTGTGTTTCTTTTTCTTTATTTTTCTTTTTGGTTCCTGATGCAGGTTTTAGAAGGACTAGTTCAGGACCATCCTACATCGATAATAGGAGTAATTACTTACCAGATCCAGTCTCAGAATTGTTATCAGCATTCAATTTATTTGTAGCTTAGATTGTGGGCTTGTGGCTATCTGGTTCGCTTGTTAAAATTGCTTTGCGAGATGTCTGAAGCTTGAAACTTTCTTCCAGGTTGGGACTGTCTTAAATGCCTTGGATGCCAGAAAAGCCATAAAAGCTGGAGCCAGGTTCCTCATGAGCCCTGTAACAGTCAAGGTGTTTCAAACACTGTCAGATCTTATAATCTTTTGTTACACTCAAGGACTTACTTATCTAATATTCTTTAGGTTTTGCTTTTATTCTTTTACCAGTGGTTGGTTATTTGTGTAAATATAAAAAACATCAACATATATGCTTATTATCTACAGAAAATTTCCCCAAGAGAAGTAATTTTTTTAAACTCATTTGGAACTTTTTCAAAATTTACCTTCTTTGAGTAATCTTCTCTCTAACTCAGCCATGATCAGCAGGACATTCTTGAAGATATCCAAGGTGGTGAAATTCTCTATATCCCTGGAGTAATGACACCAACAGAGGTAAGAATATCCTCCTTTTTCATGATATTCTCAAAACTCTAGGACTTTTTGTGTGTATTCTAGCATTTGAACTCTTTTAGTTTTGAAGTGGACTAATTATATTAATTTAATGATTCTGCAGTTATGGGCTGCATATAATTCTGGTGCAAGAGTTGTAAAGGTCAGCCTCATCAATTTCTTTCTCATGTTTAAAAAATGTTAGGACTAAGTGGCAATGGTTTATGGATGTGACTCTCCTGTTTCTTGCACATCACCAGTTCAATATGTTATTCAGGTATTCAGCTCTCCAAATTCATAACATTTATATGATATGTTTTGGAGCATTAAAGTGTATGCTTCAAAATGTCTATAATAGCTATCCACAATCTCTTTTAGTCCTGTATTTATCTCAAGCCTGCCTAATTCAGGCATGCCATTACCAGTTTTTAACTCAATGTTATCATAGATGCACTAATGTTCTTGAATATATCTTTTCACATTTCAGTGGGATTAATAATCTGTATCCAGACTACCCCACCCAATACCCTGTTATTCAGGACCCCCATTGGCTAATGGCCTCTTGTAGCATTAATTTTGTTCCTCCATATTTAAGGCTCTATCTGTTGCTATAGAATGTGATGTCCATTATTTTGCAATAAAAGGTTTTCTTTTCTATTTCCTGTGAGGTCATTTTTTTGTTGGCTATTACTTATTATTCATATTATGAAAGTTTATATGTCATTTTGTGTTAGAAAGCACAAAAAGAATCTGGGTCTGGGCACATGACATGTTTTCTCTTAAGTGAAGCAAGATTGAGTATTTATTACTGGGCTTCTTGCATTTTGCATTGTGATTGTGTAATATGCAGTTAAATCCTAACTTTAAAATAATATAGAATGAAGTAACACAAACTCTATGGTACAGAAACATGTTATGCAGTACTTACACTGTCAAATAACTATATGCTGTAAACATTATACCCCGTTTACAGATTAAATGTAAGTTGTCTCATGTTGCAACTTTTATAACCCTTGTGCAAGATTTACAGCCCGTAATCTTTTGTAGTACCATACCACAAAACATATTTATGTACCATAGAATTACTCATAGAACAGACATTTTTAACCCATCCTCCCTCTCCCTTTTATGTGGAAATCTGTTATCTTTATAAAGACTAGTCGAAGATATTATGTTCAAATTTTATTTTTTCTGTTACAAATATGCCATTTTTGTTGCTCCAATGACTTGATACACTTCCAGAGTTCAGACAATATATGTGCTAAAATGTTGCACTTCTATCTATGCATGACATGTTCTTTTGCTGCTATTTTGGATATTAATATGTAGTTTGGGCTTATTGCAGTGATTTATATCCCTTATTACTTTTTTCTTTCCTTGACCATAATGACTTCTTATGACTAGAAATAATTTATCCTCTCTTCAATTGCTTTGCACCTTTAGCGTTGTTTTGAACTACCTATATTTTCATACAAAAACGACATTTTGTATTTTGTGTTTGTGGTGTTGTTAATCCATATCTATCTTAAGAAAAGAGGGGAATCGAAGGGTCCTATACCATAGAGCTCATATGGACATCCTCTTAATTTCTGTAATAAAATCTATTATTTCTCTCTCTAATAAGATAATTCTTAAAATTCTCTCTCTCTCTCTCTCAAATCTCTCTTGGCCTATTTTGACTCTCTTAAAATCAGGTGTATAAATTAGATGGGTTGGGTCAAGATAAGGGCCAACCCAAGACTAACTCTAGACATAGACCCAAGACTCGACCCAAATTGACATCAAGACCCAAATTTGCTAACCCAAACCTATCCAAAATTATATTTAACCCCATGCACTGCATGGGTTTACTTGCTACTGTTTTCATATACAAAAAAAAAAAAAATTCCTCCATGCAACCCAACTCAACCTGGCATAGTCTGATCAGTCATGTTTTGTGGGTGTGATGGTGTGTGTAACATGTGTGCATGCACTAAACAAATTCCACTAGTTTGTAGGCATGTAGAAGTTTGTGGTTAAAACTGAATGCAGCATCATTGCCAACTTCTATATGATCTCTTTCCTCTACAATTTTTAAGTAGTGCTATGAGATTTCTGCACAAAAAGAATAATGTTAAGCCACATCTGATATTTTTTTCCTTCTTGAAAGACTGCTTTCTGGAATGTTTCATTTTGTCTTTCAAAAAAATTTAGCTTATGTCCTTTGCAATGTTGGAAATTTTTTTATAACTTATATGCCTTAATTGTTTCATTAAAATCTTTTTTGGCTGTAGGTTTATCCTATCTCAGCCTTAGGTGGCACTCAATATATATCATCTCTCAAGAAACCATTTCCTCATATCCCAATGGTTGCTTCCCAAGGCATCACATTAGGTTGGTACTCGGTAGTTTCGACTGTGTACTTGGTATGTAAAATGTAGTCAGTAACTCAATTGACTATATATAACTGTACAGAAACTACAGGTTAAGATATTCACAAAATCCATTGTCTGCTTATTTAAGATGTAGAGACAGTGAAATCTAGCCGTAGAGCTATTTTTGTACTTTTACTTTTCTTTTCTGTATATCTCTCTTTGTATTATATCTCTCTTGTATATTAAGGGAAGATCTGTCCTTTTACAACTTAATATAAATATTTCTTTTAGGGTGTTGACTGAAACACGTTGTCACACCCACCAGTCGGCTGTGTTGTCTCTCTCTCTTTCTCTTTCTCAGTTTTTCGATCTGACTCTGACATAAGAAGGGAGGGAGGGAGGGCTGGGAAGATTGTTATGCAACTTATTTTATTATTGTTATAGGTATAGAAAGAAAATAGTTGGCAGATATTGTAGTTTCATATAAAAAAATAGCTACTTAAAGAAACCTATTTGGAGGCAGCCCTGTAGGATTCATGCCAAACATGAACAATATCCCAGATATTGATAAAAGAACTAAAAAGCATTGTTCAGAATGAAAACTGATTTTCCTGGCTTGCGAAAGATTCATGTGTGGGTAAAATTGTCTGTTAACTCATCTGGTTTTTACAATTATTATATTTTATTATTGTTTCCTGGACACTCTTTCATATTTATCCTTATAGAGACAACTCTTGTTTGTCCTTGTTGGTTCATATGGCAATATGAAAGTTCTTGTTCCTCATGGACTAAAAAAAGCCTAAATGGAATTTTATGTTTCAAAGCATATACATTGATCCATACCCTCGACATGTGAGCAAGGTTCAAAATTTCAATAAGATATGTCCAATATGGGGCATATTGTATCATATCTTTTGACTCCTGATACACCTATTTAAAGGGAGTTTTGAGAAATATTGTTTTTAATAAGTAAAGTATATTAAATAATACAGCTTTATGAAATTTTGAAATAAAAAAAAAGATGAAAAAAAGTAAAGGTGGAAGGTTCAAAGTATCAATACACCCCTTCCGCCATATTGGGGTGTACCGATATTTTGAATCATGCATGTGAGCAACAAGTGTCCTTTAGGCAATAAGGTGCCAAATCCTATTTCCTAGAAAATAAAAGATAACAATAGAATAGTGTTACCATTTGATTGCCTACAATACCCCAATACCTGTACAAAGTTGCCTATCTTGTTGGATAAATTTTTATTGTAAATTTCATATCCAAAACCATATTGAGCTTTGTCCTCGCCATATCCAGGAAATGTAGTTGATTACTAGGGTTTATTTTAGCTGGTTGTTTCTTTACATAGGGGTTTTTTAAGACAGGTAATTTTATTAATTTATAAAGGTCCAAGCTGAAAATGTACTATCTTCAAGGACAAAGCAGATCCAAATACAGTGAGATGCTGTCAACAATAAATTCATAGCAGAACATCCGCAGATAAAAGGAAATTCAATGGGATCCCAATAAACTCTTTGTATGGAGAAACCCAACTATAAATCCTACCCACCATCACTCTTAACTTATCCTCTAGTCTACATTTATTGTGGAAGACCTTCTTGTTGCATTCCTCCTGTATCATCCTGATAATTGATGCTGGAATCACTTGCCAAACCAGTTTTCCTTTTCTATTGAATCCCTTGACCAACCAGTTAGCTACTGTGATCTTGGAATTGTCCAGCTTAGGTAAAGAGAACTAAGGAAGAAGTTCCAAATTTTAGAGCTTAGTTGGCAGGGGGGGGTCATCAGATTCAATCTCACACACATAGTGCAACAACAGTCTAGGATGATCACTCCTCTCCTCATCAAGGAATCCCTGGTAAGGCATTTATCCAACATGGCTGCCCAGAGAAGAAAGGGCACTTTATAGGGGACTCCATATTTCCACACTGAATGATGTTGAAATGGGTCAAAGGTGTGATTACTAAATGGGTTAAAAAAAGATTTGACTGCAAATTTTCCATTTTTCTCCCATCTCCAATCATTTAATCAACAGTCCACTCTTCTTTCCATCCACTCCAAAGTCCAAAGTCTTTTCCAACTGGTTGGCCACTTTGACCAGAATGGGAAAGAGGGAGAGAGAAACTGAATAGGCGGTTGAATAAAGTGATCTTGATTAAAGTAATTTTCCCACCTTTGGATAAATACCTCCCTTTCCAAGAAGATAACTTCCTGCTGAATCCTTCCACTACCAGAACCCATAATGATCTAGAACGTGTATCTGATTCCCAACAGAACACCAAATACTTGATTGGGAAGTGACTCATCTCACAGTCCAATCCCGCAGCCAGGTTCTCCATCCTTTCAAGTTGACCCACGGCAATGATTGAACTCTTTCTAGAATTTAGTCTCAATCCTGAAACCACTTAAAACTAAGTATCCCTTGAAGGTAGTGAAGTTGATCTTATGAAGCAACAAGTCCAAACTATTCTGAGTAATTTGCTATCTCATGGCTTACCAAATTTGCATTGATGAATGTTCCGTGCATGTTGATAAACATTATATTGTTTTTTTTTTTTTTTCTGAACTATGTGCTAACCACCATCCTAGCAGTCAGTTTAGTGTAGTTAAGGCTCCTTGCTCTAGATGAAAAATGCAATTGACCCATAAATGGAAAGAAATGGTTTTTCTTTCTTTCTTTTTTTTCTTTTTTTTTTTTGCATTCAGTTGTTTGGATTATCATAAAACAATTCTCATGTATTTCACCTATTACTTGTGTTCAGATTCTATAGGAACATATATTGCTGGTGGAGCATCAGCAGTGGTTTTGTCTGATGCTATATTTGATAAAGAGGCAATGTGTCAACAAAATTTTGATACCATCTATCAACTTGCTCAACTTGCAGCTTTACAAGGACATGAAGCAGTACAACGGTGCGGCTTTTCAGTTGCTCTTATTATAACTAAAGTTATTATTTGAGAATCTCTTTTTTGGTTATGTGTGTTGGACACCATTGTTCTTTGCATGAATGAGAAACGCTTGAATTTCCCATCTTGTACAATTAATGTGGGTTTGATGAAAGGGATGATAAGCTTATGGTGGATCCTTTCTAAAGGAACATGTTAGATGGTTAACTTAAAAATGTTTAACCTCTATTTTAAGTTGTGATGTCAAAGGGCTAATTTGTCATGGCTTCTTGGATAGAAAGTTCTCTCCAGTGTAGAATACCAATTTGCTTAGTATGATTGGCCTTCAGTCTGTGGAAATGGGCATGGTTGTAGCCAATAAAAAAAAAAAGAAGTAAAAGTCATGACTTAAGAAATGATATTTTGTGTGTTCTGAAAAAAAATCTGCACCTTTTTTGTTTATTTTGTTGTTCATTTGCAAAGTTTATGAGATGTTATGCCTAAAAAGGTCTAACCGGTTCAGATTTCTACAGAAAAAAGATATACTTGTATGCCTTACTACATTGGTTTTATCTTCTTTGTTTTGGGTTTAATATATTTTAAATGTCTTCAGGATATATTGGTTTTCCTTTCTCATTACCAAGGAACTGTTTTAGGGGGTTCTCCTAGAAGAATCTAATGTCTAACACTATCAATGAGTTCTCTACTTTTATCTAGTATACATGGTTTTAATTGTGTGAGATGCTATGCAGGAAGAAAAGATGTATGCTCAGTCTTGCTTCATGACAAGCCAGCAACTTTCCACTTTTCAATCTATGTCAGGTTATTAAAAAAAAATTCAGGGATGTGATTTGGTGATAGGGCGAACATATTTACTGAAGGAACATTAACTGCCAAATGGACTAGCAAATAATGTAAGAGATCTTTTTACTTTTCATGCTTTAACACAAGTGTTCTTGCAAAAGAATTGTGTCTATTATAATTCTCAAGTTGTTATTAGGGTCTCATGGGTTCTTCTAAATAAGAAAAACTATCAGCATAAAAAATGCATTGGATTCTGACATCCATGAATTCTTGAGCAAGACTTAATAGATTTTTCTTTCTCAATATAATTCTTGCTTGTTTGGCATAAATTATCATCTAGGGACTACCATATCCCATCTATTCTATGTTTTCCTTGCCAAAATTTTGATGGCAAAGACAAAATCTTTATTTTAGTAGTGGCCTTTTTGGTTAGATATAATGAAGATTCAATTCACCTACTCATTGTTTAAGAACAAATCCAATTATCCATGTTTTTCAGCTAACCATGCTTCGATTTCATTTCAGGTAACCATGTTTCTATTTCATCTCCTAGATCAACACTCATTTAACATTGTTTGCTACTTATCTCCTCTGTTTGTCAGTGGGCAGTAGATTACCCCAGTACATATTTTTTATCATCAATCTGTGCTTTGTGACTTAAACTACAAATCATTTCCTTTCAATTTAATTTTATTAAAACTATATTCTTAAACTCTCTTATTGCAGATTGATGTTGTTGACTTTCCAAAATGTCCATCTTTGGATTATGTCATGTAAGATAGATGCAACAACAGAGTTCTATTAACCAACATGCTGAGGAGCTCAAGAAGATGATCATTATTTGACTGTTCAGAGTCTGAAGGGAATTGCTTTTATTTCACTAATCATATAAAACCTCACGGGGTTATAATGCATGGATGACCCTATATAATAGGTATAAGGATTTGCTGAGTTGTTGAATTGAGGGTTAGGATGTCTGATTTATTTCTCTTGTCGTGGGTTCAAGGTTTCATTTGAACAGGATACCATCTTTAACAACATAGCTCCCTGAATTGCCTACTAAAAGAAAGAACAATCTTCACATTATGCAAAGGTGGATTGGGCTTACCACCTGCTCTGAAATACAAGCATTGATCAAGTAAAATTTCCCAAACTAGAAAAGAAAATCAAGATAAAGGAACACAAATTTTGTCCACGACTGGCCAAATAACAATGAGAACCATATTTATTGGACTACTGTTTAGGGGACTTGACCCTAATTATCTGTTTAGTTTGAGAGTAGCATCCAGAGCATTTAGACTATCAAAAAACTTCAAAAGGAGCATGGATCATGTGGTCTAGAAGTCGAAAATCAATGCCACATGACACATTTTAAAATCATTACAATTAAAGAAATGTAGGTAAAAATATATACCATGTATAATGGTCTTTGTTTTGAACCTAGATTTAAAAGCATCATCCTTATCAGAAAGAACTTTGGATGAATTCATTGAAATAACTTCTGTGGTTGCACATGACTTATGTTTTAGGTAAGGAATATATTAAGAGAAAACAAGAAACAACAACAAAAAAGAACACCTTTCTCAAAAAAAAAAAAAAAAAAGAAGAAGAAGAAGAAGAAAAAAGACACATGATTAACCAACTGGACTAAAATGACTCGACTCAGACTACGACTTAACACACAAATTTATGACCAACAAGACCTTTGGCAAGACAAAGAATGACCTCGTTGCACCACCTGATTAATATGATAAAACTGAATGTTTAAACCTTCACCAACACTCCTAATGTCTTGCACATGACAATGACATGAAGTTTAGATGAATTCTCAAATATTCTCGAAGTGGTTTCTAACATGACAATGGGCATACTGTTTCCAATACCTTTCAAACGCCTATGCATTGGTCAGGCTGGTTGTAGTGGAAACTTGGGATCAAATCCCTTTGTCACTAAGGATGTGGGGCTATGCTCCTTCCCCCCACCCCCCACCCCACGCGCGCGCGCACACACCATGAATCCAAAAAATGGGGTAAAATATAGAGCTACCCTATGCTCTGGGGGTAGTGACACTTGGATCCTCAGAGCCATCTTCTACTTTCAAATTCTTAAACTTTGCTCCAACATTAGCATTCTATTAAATTTTTATGGAACTATTTTGCCATTTTCTTTATTGTTGGTTTACAATTAACAATGGCGATTGACGAACACTGTACCTAGAGGTGCATTTTTTGGAACCGAACCAGTATTACTGGTTTTTTGGAAAACCGATGATTGGAATCGAACCGAAGTCAGTCAGTTAATCGGTTGACCGGTTTGGTTAATCATCAATTTTTTATATTGGTTAATCGAAACTGAACCGATACTTCGGTTTTTTAAAAACATTGAACCGAAATCAAACTGACCGGTTTGGTTAATTGATTTTTCAGCTCGGTTTTGATCGATCTTTTCAGTCGTATTGGTTTTTCGTTTTTTTTTTTAATTTTTTGCTCACCCATAACTGTACCTCTTTCAACTCTCCTTTGTCTACTTCTTTATCAAAAGAAAAGGTAACGGGAAAATATACAGGAAAGTTTAAAACTTGGGTTTTGGAAATGTAATAAAGAAAATGGCAAATGGCAAATGTCCAATCCATCCAATTGAAATTTGATTTGGAGATGGAGTCCAACCCAGAACTGGTCCATTGACACCCCTATTTAGGAATCATAAAGGTGAACATTTTAAAAGCACAAAATTAATTTGGCTAGGGGGGGGGGGCGTAGGTAACACATCAACCTCTGTAGCATAAATGTGGGCAACTTGAAGCTCATGGGATGGCCATGCAAGAAATTTGCACATCGATAATTATAGAAGGGGTTCACTTATTGTCATCAATAGTCTCAAAATGAATTTGGAGCATGCCTTAGTCGTATCGGTTGTTGCTCAAAGACTGCACCACTTTAGCTCGAAACTAGTGGGGACTGGCACGATGCATGGACTTTTGTTAAGTGAAAGTAAAACAATAAAGATACATAAGAGTAATTTACTTTTTTCTATATTTTAATTTTTGAAATAAATAATATTTTTTTGATGTTTTATATACTACTTTTCATATTTTTTTACAATATAATAATAACAATAATTAATTTTAGATAAATTAATAGTTTAATCTCCAATAACTATAAAAATTTATAGCGAAAATATATAATTATTGAAAACAAATTTATAACAAAAATACAATAAATAACTAATAAAAATACAACAAATCCAATAATTACAAAATACAATAAATACTAAAAATATATTAAATTAATTAGTAAATTTTGTAATCTCCAATAAAAGTTTAATCTCTAATAAATATTAATCGATGCATTATAATAAAATACATAGTTACCGAAAATAAATTTTATAAATTAAATTTCAAAAAGATAAATAACAATAGTTTAATCTCCAATAGTTATTGAAAATATTTTAAATATATAATAGATATAGATAAATATTTTAAAACTATTATTATTAAATATTATTTTTTGAAAGTTATTTTATTTAACTATTACTTGATATATGTGAAATAATGTTTTTATTATTAACACAATAATAATTGTAATTATTATTCTATTGCTAATACATACTAAAGAATAAGTTTTGAAAGTTATTACGTATTTTTTCTATTCCGAAGCTTCAATACCTCCAAATTATTTAATCTATTTTCATTATTTAAATAATATATTATTTTAAATTTTTTATATTTTACAATATTATTATCAAATATTATTAAATCTATTATAATTATTTTTGTATTTTGAATAAGTTTTTTAAAGTTATTACTTAATTTTGTTATTTAAATAATATTTATAATATGATTTAGTTATTAACTTTTCAATATTTAAAATTTAGCTATTTAAATAATTTTGTTATTTAAATATTAAAATTAATAATTATTTATTAAATTGAATAATCCATAAAATTATAATTTATACTATTATTACATAATTGCACTATTATTTTTGTAAAATATAAATTATTATTAATTTGAATATTATGAAATCTATTATAATTCTTTTTCCATTTTAAGAAACTTTTTAAGTTTATTACTTAATTTTGTTATGTTAAATATTTAAATATTTAAAGAATATTTATTTTTTTTATATTTAAGTTTTATTTATTTTAAATTTATTATATAACATTAAATATTCTGTTCTGTAATTATTTGGATATTTTAATATTTTGTTATTATTTATATATATATACTAATTTTTAAAGTTTTTATTGTTTAAATAGCATTTAAATCTTTAAAATATTAATTGGTTATTAAATTGAACAATCCATAAAATTATAATTTATAGTTATTACATAATTTTGATAATTATTAATAATTTGAATATTATTAAGTCTACCATAATTGTTTTTGTATTTTCAATAAATATTTTAAAATTATTATATAATTTTGTTATTGATGAGGGCAGATTTGGCCCTCCAGTGACATCATGACACATGGTATATTAGAACAACTGGACTACATCCCAGCATCACCTAGGCGACAACTTGCCTAGGTTAGTGGTTAGACCTAGAATTGGAACCACTTTGGCCATCAATTTTCAGGTTAGTGGTTAGACCATGGTTTTTAGAATTGATGATGCACAATCTGGCCGGTCTTAGCTGTCAATGATCTTGCCTCTGAACTGAGTAACAGGGACCTGAAACGAAAGGAGGAGAGAAGCTCCGGGGAGAACCCGACGTAAGGGCTCCGAAGCTCAAGTTAGAATCCTTCAAAGGCAAGATAAACCAGATAGCGCAAGAGTTAGCCTACCTCGTTCCTGGGGGGTAGGAGCCTTTTATAACCACCTCGCGTACTCGCTTCCAGGCTTCCGTCAGATCGGGCATGATTACTTTTGAACTCCTGCCAGTTCGGATGTCAYTTCCTCTGRCCRGACAGAACCGCCACTGTTCCTTTTGTCGGAGCCGTCTCTGCGGCTAGTGACGACGGTTGCAGGTGGCGGT